TTTAATTGCGGCATCCATTGTTGTGTTGTTGTTCAGGCCTGTATTTTTCAGACTGGAGACTTGCTCTAAAATCGGTTTATAGAGGGTCCTTTTCATTAATTTTGTGGAATAATTTGAAACATAGAAATCTTAACATTTGGCCATAATACATTGGCATTAAACCGGAGTATCTGAGTGAAAATTTAAACAACAGTAACAACATAATAGGAGCTAAAGATTCGTCATTGTGTGATGACGTACCGTATAGTGTTGTTCGTAGGCACATGTTTTTGCAAACTACATTCTACAATTTAACGCCAAGTACTCTTTAAAATTAGGTAAAATAATGTTAATTAATTTAATTAAATGTAATGTTATTTATATAGTAACTTAAAAATGATCCATGGGTCGTAAAATTCGCTTTAATTTAAATATACCTATAACAATCGAATAAATATAGAAATTTATGAAAATAGAATGAAGCATAAAGTGATGTTAATGCCGTTAACGTTTGTATATTTAATGATCTTTTTTATCTCAATCTATTTTAATGTATTGCATTCGTTCTTCGATATATTATCAGCATTGTTGTTGTTTTATTGGAAAAAACCAATATTTTGACCTATCCTTAGGTACCTTGATAAAGACCTAAGGATAGGTCGAAATATTGGTTTTCTCCAATAAAGTGTTTCTAAAGTCCATATACATGGTATTCATTTCCTATATTCTTTTTATATATATATATATATACATATCCTACACTGTACTCGTTTATCGATATATTAAGTATTCTTTAATAGCAATGCTCAGATAGGAACATAAGGCGTTATAATCATGCCAAATGGCCCAATTGATTTGGAAGATGGCCACAAATTTGGTATTGTAGAACATTACAGGAGTTCTAATAGAGTATTGGCTAAAATGTTAAGATTTAATATTCCCTTTTAAGCTCTATTACAAAAATTAACAAATTTTGTATTCAGTACATTTTTTACTGTATTAAAGATTGGATTGGGGACCGTGGGGAGAGTACGCACCCAAATCATTATTAAAATAACGTTTTATTAACATGTACACTTTACATAATATATTAAATCAATTAAACAATCAATTCTATTTTCTGGAATTTGCAATTTTTTACCTCATGAAAGTACGAATTTCATTAAAAAATATATTTTAAATGTATTTCTCATTAGTTCAATCTCTTTTATTTCAGTGTCTTAGGTCAACTCTACCGATTCTTCAAGAAGTGCGAGAATGATGTACAATCATTGTCACTGGAACACAATGTATATTAAATTGTTGGAAAACAATGTAATATCATTGGCCGGATTTATGTGGTCTTCTGCAAGTAATCGTGCGCGGATATTTATTAGATGTTATACTACTGGATCATCGGAATTTAATTAAATTTGCAAGTTATGTTTCTTGTACAACGAACAAGTAATCCTCGAACGATATTATATACTTAAATATAATTAGGCCTAAGCATTATATTATACTATATAAAACTACAATCTTCGTATTTCATTTATATTACGTTTATATAGTTCTCATGCAACATATTATAAGAAATAAAAGTTACTGATGTGTAATTTAAAATACATCATTGTCTGTACTTTCTTTGTCGTAATTGCATTAATAATATATGTTTTAATTATATTAATCAGTATATAAACCGAATTAAATATATTATAATCAGTTGGAATCGAATATACCAGTATTAGAGGCTACTACTATATCTTATAAACACTAACATTTCCAAATATTCACGATACAAACAAATTACAAAAAATAAAAGAAATCAGAGCAAAGTGCCGTCAAATTTTACAAAACAGGAAATGACGTCGGTTGCTAGGCTACGCTCATGCATATTCAGTAACACCTGTGCTAATTAGACTAACAATAAAATCTTTTTGGTCGATTTTGTCAGAATTGACCAAAAAGATTTTATTGTTAGTCTAATTAGAACAGGTGTTACTGAATATTCATGATTATGCATGAGCTTGTTGCTAAGCAACCACGTCATTTCCGGTTTTATGTATTTTGATGAAGACGTCCTCAAAATGACCGTATAATTTTACAAAACAGGAAGTGACGTCGGTTGCTAGGCAACAGCTCATGAATATTCAGTAACACCTGTGCTCATTAGACTAACAATAAAAACTTTTAGCTCAGTTTTGACAAAATCGACCAAAA